TCTATGTCCTAAATCATCTGGAGATAGGGAAGCAGTCGGTGTTCACCTGTAACCCAGCCAAAACTAACCTCTCCTGCCCTCCTCTGTCTGGTTGGGAATGTCAGACATCAAACAGAATTAACTAGTTATACAGCGCTTTATTAAATCCCCAAAACCCCTACCTCAGAGTCTGAAGAGTCAACGCTGTCAGAATCCATGGGGAGATGTTCTGGAGGGGTGACAACTGGGCCTGCACCTGCTGCAGAGGTGCACGTAGTCTGAGTGCTGCGGACTCAGCAGACCCGGCCACTGGCCTCGCTCCATTCCCCTGGGAAGAAAGACCAATGTCAATAAACAGCTCAAACTACAGAGTCCTCAAGGAAATGCTCACCAGGCAGCTGTGATTCTCAACTTTCCAGAAAGCTAGAAAACTATGCTTTAGAGCTGAAATCTTTCCCTTACCTTCGTTATTTCCATTTTATTGAGTCCTCCCAAGAGAGAGGAGAAAAGAGAGGGAGACTAACTTCTGTCATTTTCTATGCAACGAAAACGCCCCAAGCAAAGGTTGAGGAAGGACTGATATATTCTTAAATAATATCTTCAATGATATTCTCCATAATAATGTTTTGTTTTTTTAAGATTTTACTTTTAGGGGCGCCTGGGTGGCTCAGTCGCTTAAGCATCTGCCTTCAGCTCAGGTCATGATCTCAGGGTTCTGGGACTGAGCCCCACATCAGGCTCCCTGCTCAGTGGGGAGTCTGCTCCTCCCTCTCCCTCTGCACCCCCCCCCCACTGTGCTCACATGTGTGCTCGCTCCCTCTCCCTAAATAAAATCTTAAAAAAAAAAAAAAAAAAGATTTTATTGTAAGTAATCTTTGCACCCAAAGTGGGGCTTGAACTCACAAGCCTGAGATTGACAATCTCATGCTCCAGCAACTGAGCCAGCCAGGTGTCCCTCCATAATAATATATATTTTTTAAATTTTATTCATTTATTTGAGAGAGAGCAAGAGAGAGCACAAGTAGGGAGGAGAGGGAGAAACAGGTCCCCCCTGAGCAGGGAGCCTGATGCAGGGCTCAATCCCAGGACCGTGAGATCATGACCTGAGCCGAAGGCAGATGCTTAATGGACTGAGCCACCCAGGTGCCCCCCTAATAATCTTTTTTTTTTTTAATTTTATTTATTTATTTGACAGAGAGAGAGAGATAGCAAGAGCAGGAACACAAGCGGGGGAGTGGGAGAGGGAGAAGCAGGCTTCCCGTGGAGCAGGGAGCCCGATGCGGGGCTTGATCCCAGGACCCTGGGATCATGACCTGAGCCGAAGGCAGACGTTTAACGACTGAGCCACCCAGGCGCCCCCCCAATAATCTTAACAAAGTTCCATAGTGAATTTAGGCCCCAATCTTTTTGGACAGTAATTTTTTTAAGTTTGTTCTGAACATTAGCTTCACAGAGTAGAACTGCCCTACTGTCAATCTCAGACCGCTTAAGTGCTGTCAATAAATTCACCATGTCTGTGCATTAAAACCCATAATCACCTTCTATCAGAGGGGTGTCACTATCACAGTAAATCCTGTCCCTATTCATTCATATTCATCAAAGAACTACTACAGTTTTAGGAGCATTTTGTTAAATTGGACTGGCTCTCTTTTTCTGGTTCTTTTTTTTTTAAAGATTTTATTTATTCATTCGAGACACAGAGATAGAGACAGCATGAGCAGGGGGAGAGGCAGAGGAAGAAGCAGGCTCCCCGCTGAGCCAGGAGCCAGATGTGGGGCTCGATCCCAGGACCCGAGGATCATGACCTGAGCCGCAGGCAGATGCTTAACCATCTGAGCCACCCAGAAGCCCCTTTTTCTGGTTCTCCTTAACACTGACATGGTACATCTTGTTGGCTATCGATATTTGTTAGTACTTGCTCTTAGAGAGCTGTGTAACTTACTTTAATTATTAGGATTTAGTACTATTCACTACACAGTTGAAAAATCAGTAAGTGTCATGTCACTTAGAAGCAGTTCTCACAAAGGGCATCAGATAAATGAGATGACCTACCTTGGTCTGGGTCTCAGCCTCCTCTTCAGTAACCAGGGCATCCATCCCCAAGCGCTGTCTTAACTCCTGGTTCTCAACTACAAGGCCATGGGTTTTCTCTCGCAAAAGCTGATTTTCTAGCAAAAGTTTTTGGTTCTGGAAGTAAGTTCAAGAAGAAGCTATTGAAACACCCAGTTCTTTCACGTAAGAATCTAGCTGATGAGTATCACTACAGTTCTACAGTTGGTTTCCTTTCCTTCTCCTAGACCTTTTTTTTTTTTTAAAGATTTTGTTTATTTATTTGACAGAGAAAGACACAGCAAGAGAGGGAACACAAGCAGGGGGAGTGGGAGAGCGAGAAGCAGGCTTCCCGCTGTGAGCAGGGAGTCCGATGTGGGGCTCGATCCCAGGACCTTGGGATCATGACCCGAGCCAAAGGCAGGCAGACGCTTAATGACTGAGCCACCCAGGTGCCCCTATCTCTTAGACCTTTTGAAAAACTCTGCTTATACAATTGGTTCACAGTAGGTATTCAAAGGAAAGGTCATAGTTATGAAAAACAAGTGCCATGCCGTGGGGTCACAAATAACAATGCTTCCAACTACTAATATAGACCTCAGCAAAGGGTGACTTGTGGCTTTAATTTAGATATGATGGCAAAAAAAAAATTCCTATCTTGAACTAGTAACAGAAGTGGTAATGGTGGACCATAAAATCAAAATATGTTAAGTGTGTGTGTATGTATGTGTGTAAATATAGGTATGGATATATATGAAATCCTTATATATTCAAGATGTGTAGCTGGCAACAATTTAAGATTAGGTAGTAAGTGGGCCCTAGAAGGGGAAGGGAACCGTTAGTGGACTTTTGGCCAAGCCAGGACGGGTTTCAGGTTTAAGCAATGATTTTCTATCTGCTTTTACGAATTTCTTAGTACTAACTCGATAAACGTTGTAATGTTGTAATTCACCAACTTGGAGATAGATCTAGCACCAAATGCCAGGGGTCAACCAGTTCTGCTCTCATCAAGTTTCACCACCTAATCACTTAACTATCTATCTACCCTAATTTAGATTCATTTAACTTTTTTTTTTAGCTTAACTTTTAATTAACTGTCCAGTTGTATTCTAAAGAGACAGGAACATTCACCAGGAAGGATATACAAGAAATAAAAGATAAGAGTTTGACCTTAAGTATTTTTACCTCTTCCTCCAAATCTACCACTTGCTGTTCCAGCTCACTCATTCGAGCTTTCTTTCGGTCTCTGGCAGTCTGGGCTGCGACTCTGTTTTTCAGTTTCCTGAGAACAAAAGGGACATACATACACTAAGTCATCTCAAACCTTATTTATATCTTTATTTGAGAACTTGGCCAGCTGGTGCTTTCATTTTCATTTACAGTATAAGGTAGACTAAGGTAAAATACACTCCAGGCTCCTCCCCTCAATAAAACAGAACAAAAAATAGAGCCTTTCCTGGATCTGGCTTGAAGAACTGCTTCATTCTCTCCCATATTGCGTCATCCACACCCCCGTCGCATCCCGGCCACAGCAAGGACGCTGGACACAAATACTACTCATCTCGCATCATAGGAGATTTCCTCCTCCCATTTTTATTCCCCCCGTATAATTCAAATAAAGGAGAGGCCGATGCCTTTCGCCCTAGCTGACATCCTGGGCAGTCCCCGGAAGGCTGGGCCCGGCGTCTGCTCAAGGAGGCACTTAAATCACAAAAGGCACCAAGACCACAAAAGAACTAACATTTACGAGAACTGGGTACTAGGCATTTCTCACTCAATCTTTCCAACAACCTCATGAATAGATACCATTTTTAAGGGCGCGGAGACTAAGTTTGACTAAAGAGCCTCACGGAGCTCACAGCCCTCTCGACAACTGTCATTTCGGCTCCACGACCCTCCAAAAAAAAGTAGGTCAATCGAGTCCATGCCACTGCCCAAATTCAGAAAAACTGAATGACAGGTCTATGGTCACATAGCAAGAGGGCCTGGAACCCAAGTGCGCGAACACCCAGCTCTACGCAGCTCTAATGAGACAGAAAAGAAGGGGGTTTAACAAAGGCCCGGGCAGCCCGGGACTCCCGACTTCCTGCCCCGCCCCGCGCCACGCTGGCACCCTACCCGCCAGGCCCAGGGCGCCCGAGCGCGGCAGGCGCTCAGCGCCCGGCTTCGGATCCGGGTCCCAGCCCCTCGCCCTTCGCCCTCAGGGTCCGCGCCCGGACCCTCGCCCACCTCCGCAGCGCCTTCTCCTCGGGGCTCAGGTGCGTGAGGCGCTGTCGCTTGCGCGCCTGGGATGGGCCCCCGCTCGCCGCCTCCGGGCTAGCCCCTCGCGGGCCCGGCACCATGAGTGGCAGAGCCCGGCCGGCCGGGGTTCCGGCGGCGGCGGCGGCGGCGGCGGTGGCGGGCTTGCCGGACAGAAGCAACACTTTGGGGGCCCCGGCGGCCGGGCTCTGCGCGGGTGCCACCACCACCATGGCCCGAGAACGTCTACGCCAGTGCGCGCTGCCGCCGTCCACCGGGCCGGCCCCGCCGCACCCAGCCTTTCTACGGTCGTGGCCTTCCGTGATTGGCCAGCGCCGCGTGACGCGTGGCCGCTCTCGGCGCCCATTGGTCCGGCGAGCCCGGAGGGGGTGGGGCCGGGGCGTCCAGCGTGGCGGCAGCCGTCCCGGGCAGGAGGGGCCGTGGTAGGGGGAGACCGGCGGGATCCGGGGCTGGGGGCCCTGGAGGGCCTGGGCACAGCTCGGCTCCTCAGGAAGGGTCTGGAACCCGGCGGAGTTTCCTCCTCGGACGGGTTTTATTCCCTAGGCTGACGCATTTCCACCCGGAACGACTGAGTCTAATCCCAAACGAAGAGATTTCCAGACTGATGACTTTTTACCGAGACTGACAGATGGTTGTCACCTCTGCCCGACCACATTTTCTCTCGGGCGCCACATCGGCCCCGAGCGGAGCGGAAAGTCGAGAGAGATAGAGAGAGAGAGCAAGCCAGTCGGGCCTTGGATGACAAAAAAGCCTGCAAAGAAATTCCGCGAAATAAGAGCCTTTAGGAAGTGAAATCGCGCGTTTTAAAACTAGGCTTGGCTCTTAGTGAGGGTTTCATAAACCGAGGCGTTGTGATCTCCGAGTGGTAGGAATACATGTAATTTTAATTTGCATTTCTAAATTGTCTGCTACGAGCATACTTTTTCCATTTCACGTGTTAAAACGAGGGTCCCGGGGTCTACCCTCAGCCCCCTGGCACGCGGGGCACTTCGAGGCTCCTGCCCTCCTGGCAGCTAGGGAGCAATTCAGGCACGTGGATATTAGAATGGAGCAATCCCATGAGCCCCCCGCCTGTTCACCTTTTTTGAAGCCAATTACAAAATGTGGAATTCCCTAGAATCACAAAGTGATACTTTCTTTAACAAGTAGTTACTGCTTCCTCTGTGCTTAGGTTCCAGGGACACAAAGATTAGGAAAACTCCTATCTGATGGTTGGAAATGGGCAAAAAGTGAAAAGACAGAATGGTTCTAGGTAATTTTTCAATGTCATTAAGTCAGATTAGCTCTTCAGTTATATTTTGGTGGGGAGGAAACAGGATGGGAGGAGGGAACTAAATCAATTCCGTCTCTTGATACACAGGCCCTTTGAAGGGGCACAATTTCTCTTATTTCCAGGAGTGGGCCATGAGTCTCCCACACGTACTTTCTTCCTCCGAGTTGGCAGAGCTAAATCAGCGACTATTGAAAACTGAGGGCGTCCTGAGCGCACGCAGCTTCAGGGGGCTGGAAAACAGGTGGGTGATCAGAGACTCCACTGGACAATGAAGCCAGCTTCCTTTCTAAGTTTCATCATCCTGGAGCTATCCGGGTCCTTTTTTTTTTTTTTTTTTAAGATTTTATTTATTCATTTATTTGAGAGAGTGAGAGAAAGAGAGAGCACATGAGAAGGGGGAAGGTCAGAGGGAGAAGCAGACTCCCTACCGAGCAGGGAGCCCGATGCGGGACTCGATCCCGGGACTCCAGGATCATGACCTGAGCCGAAGGCAGTCGCTTAACCAACTGAGCCACCCAGGCGCCCGCTATCCGGGTCCTAATGTGCCTCCCCCGATGGGAGACTCACTCCTGGCCTCTGAGACCTTTGGGAGAGGTCTTTGGAGTGCCTGCTGGTTGAGACCTACACCTCTATAGAAACCTATAAGAGGTTCTGAGAAAAGCCAGGTAACTGTCATGCAACCTTTTATTAAGTTACCATTTGTAAACACCAAGAGAATGTCTGGCGCTTTGTAAGAAGTCCCAGTGAAGCTAAAATTTAAATCATGTAGGCATAAAAAGAAAATGCCATGAGGCCCCCGTTAGTCCAGCAGGGTGTTACATGAGTAACCATGTGGAGAAGGTACAAGATGCTGGGGCAGAGGAGAAAGGTGGATGGATTGCATTTTGGTGTTGGTTAATGAGGTAGAAATGGAATGTTGAAATTGACACCACCAGCTTTGTTTTCAAGGTTTTTATTGTCCGTAAACATTTAAAATCATCCTCAAAAACAGTAATTTGACCCAATGCAGATTACTATCCATGAAGTCTCAAACACTCAACTCCAAACCTTTGAACAGTTTCATATCCTCTTTGTAAGAGTAATCTGATAGTCATGATCCTGGAGTCCCTGGATCGAGTCCCGCGCATTGGGCTCCCTTGGGCTCCCTGCTCGGCAGGGAGCCTGCTTCTCCCTCTGACCCTCCCCCCTCTCATGTGCTCTCCGTCTCTCTCATTCTCTCTGTCTCAAATAAATAAATAAAATCTTAAAAAAAAAAAAGAGTAATCTGATAATTCTTGCATCAGGTGCCATTAATATTTCATAACATTTACTAGGGACTTGTGATAAGAGATCCATAAAACACAAAGTTCTTAGACTGTGAAATGCAAGAAACAGTGATGAGAAGCTGTAGGCATTAAGTCAAAATAAATGTCAATGTAAAACAAAACAAAACCCAGTTATAATCTGAAACTAAAACTCAAAAACTGCTCTCATGTGGGAGCCGCTAACCACATGTGGTTATCGAGCACCTGAAATGTGGCTAAGTCTGAATTAAAATGTGCTGCAAACGTGAAATACACACTCTATTTGAAGACTTGGTATAAAAACGAGAGAATGTAAAATATCTTGTTGATCATTTTTTACATTGATTATATGTTGAAGTGATAAGTATGTTTGATATTTTGAGTTAAACTGCTTTTTTTTTTAATTTTTATTTTATTTTGGGGGCGCCTGGGTCGTTCAGTCGTTAAGCGTCTGCCTTCGGCTCAGGTCATGATCCCAGGGTCCTGGGATCGAGTCCCGCATCGGGCTCCCTGCTCGGCAAGATGCCTGCTTCTCCCTCTCCCATTCCCTCTGCTTGTGTTCCTGCTCTCGCTCTCTCTCTCTCTGTCAAATAAATAAATAAAATCTTTAAAAAAAATTTTTTTTTAATTTTATTTTTAAGTAGGCTCCATGCCCAGCATGGAGTGCAACATGGGGCTTAAACTCTGACCCTGAGATCAAGACCTGAGCTGAGATCAAGAGTTAGATGCTTAACCAACTGAGCCACCCAGGCACACCTAAGCTTTTTAGAAATTGGTTTTGTGTCTTTTTAATTGGCTACTGGAACATTTTAAATTATACAAGTGGCTTGCATTCTGTTTCTGTTGGACAACGCTGGTCTATATGATATCAATATGGGAGATGGCACAGGTAAAGAGAAGGAAGGGAATAAAAGTGTGCTATGGGGGGCACCTGGCTGGCTCAGTTGGAAGAGCATGTGACTCTTGATCTCAGGCTTGTGAGTTTGAGCCCCACGTTGGATGTAGAGATTACTTAAAAATAAAATCTTTTTTTAAAAAGTAGAGGAGGGGCGCCTGGGTGGCTCAGTTGTTAAGTGTCTGCCTTCGCCTCAGGTCATGATCCCAGTGTCCTGGGATAGAGCCCTGCGTTGGGCCCCCTGCTCAGTGGGAAGCCTGTTTCTCCCTTTCCCACTCCCCTCTCCCTTTCCTACTCCCCTTGCTCATGTTCCCTCTCTCGCGGTCTCTCCCTCTGTCAAATAAATAAAATATTCTAAAAATAAATAAATAAATAGAGGAAAAGAAAAATTGGGGCACCTGGGTGGCTCAGTCATTAAGCGTCTGCCTTTGGCTCAGGTCATAATCCCAGGGTCCTGGGATCGATTTAAAAAAAAAAGAAAAGAAAAATCTCCGGGTAAGCAAACAAATAGGCCAGTTTAGCTATTAGTGATGGTATTGAGAAAGGAAGTGACCCTCATCAGTGAATATCAAATCCCTTTCCAACTGCATTGGTTCTAATTCTTTGTTTTCAATAAAATTGATGGAAGACAAAATTGAATTATCAGCTGAGAGTTCAATAGAATAATTTTTGATATTAGATCATTATGTGACTTGGCTTCTAACTTGAAAGATGTACAAACAATTGAAGGACATTGTTATAACAAAATGCTTTCCTTCCCCATACGCTTAGTTAAATGAACATTGTCTTGAGGGGCACTGACATCTTTTTTAGAAATGAAAAAATTAAAAAAGGAATAAAATTAATGCCAAAACCTGTCCCATTCTCGCAGTAAGTACTATTAATCCACTGATACATGATTCCAAAGATATAGTTCCAATATCACTTTACTCTCTCTGTTTAACAATTATATACCAAAACTTGGAATGTATATTGTTTTGAAAAATCTTATAAAATTTGTACTAATTTTAATTGTTATGGAGCTCCTTTCATTGGGAACAGTTTCTTGGTCTTTTCTTGCCTTTTTTGACCTTGACATTTTTGAAATATACAAGTCAATCACAGTTGTAGAAGGTCCCTCAGTTTGGGTTCGTCTGATGTTACCTTATGATTTATGCATTTGGGACAGCAATACCACAGTACGTTGCTATGTTCTTCTTAGCGCATCATATCAGGAGGCACATGATGTCAGTTTGTACCGTAACTAGTGATAATTAGCTTTTATCAATTGGTTTAAATGGTGTCTGCTAAGTTTCTCCACTATGAAGTTAATTATTAAGTATTATACTTATTAATAATAAGTATTTTGTAAAAAGATATTTTAAAATATCTACCTATCCTGTTTCTCATTAGACTTTCACCTACCAGTTTTAGGATCCATTGGTGATTCTTGCCTAAATTAATTGTTACTATAATGATTAGCAAATAGTGATTTCCTAATTCCATCATTACTTTTGCATTTATTACTTGGAATTCTACTGTGAAGTGGAATTTTCCCTTCTATTTATTTATTCATGTAATTATCAACTCATAAAGTCCTGTTTTACTTTAAAAATCATTAAAAGTTAAAAAAATCTATTACTACATTTTTTATTTTGATTCTCAAACTGTCTCAGACTTGGCCAATGAAAGCCACCCCCTTTTTAAAGATTTTATTTATTTATTTATTTATTTATTTATTTTTAAAGATTTTATTTATCTAACAGAGAGAGACAGTGAGAGAGGGAACACAAGCAAGGCGAGTGGGAGAGGGAGAAGTAGGCTTCCCGCGGAGCAGGGAGCCCAACGCGGGGCTCGATCCCAGGACCCTGGGATCATGACCTGAGCCGAAGGCAGACCCTTTTTTTTTTTTTTTTCCGAAGGCAGACCCTTAACCAACTGAGCCACCCAGGTGCCCTAAGAACATGTTTTAGATTTTGATCCCATTTTACTTTTTTTTTTAATTAAAGTGCAGTTGACACCCGATGTTATATTAGTTTTAGGTGTACAACATAGTGATTGACAATTCTCTACGTTCTGCTGTGCTCCCCATAAGTGTAGCTCCCACCTGTCACCATACAGCACTATTACAATTCCCTAGGCTGTACCTTTCATCCCCATGACTGATCCCATTTTACTCCTTGTGTTGCAAGTTTAGAAATGGAATTGTTTCCAAGTTTTGACTTTCGTGAATAAAGCTGCTGTGAACATTTGTGCACAGATCTTTGTGTGAAAGCAATCTTTGTATTTTCAGTTCTCTTGGCTAAATACCTAGGAGTAGAATTGTGAGATCATGTGGGAGGTGTATGTTTAACTTTTTGAGAGACTGCCAGTTTTCCACACTGGTTTTACCATTTTACATCCGCATTAGTAATTACTGTTTTTCTTATGTTGCTATTTCAGATAGTTATTTAACTCTTTATTGTTACCCAACTTTTCATTTGTTTATGTTGTATGTTTTTTCCAACTGGATTTCAACATGCTCATTGGAAGCAGAAGCCATATGTTAATCTCCTTTGGTTGTCTGTGTTTAATATAGTCCTGAGCACGTACTAGCATTCAATAAATATTTTTTGAATGATTATTCAACTGTTAGGTTGTCTGCAATATGCTTTATTTTTTTTTAAGATTTTATTTATTTGTTTGAGAGACAGAGAGAGAGCATGAGTGGGAGGGGTGGGGCAGAGGGAGATGGAGCCCGACTCAGGGCTCGATCCCAGGACCCCAAGATCATGACCTGAGTTGAAGGCAGATGCTTAACCGACTGAGCCATCCAGGCGCCCCCATAATACCATTTTTTTAAAAGCAGAATTCAACATAAGGTTGGTCTATATTGGACTCGTTACAAAAGCCTGGAATGTGCTCATTTCAAGACACTAGGGCAATACTTCTAGTTACCTACACAGCATCTATTCTACTTAATCTTCCTTATTAAGAAAAAAAAATGTGGGGTGCCTGGGTGGCTCAGTCGGTTAAGTGTCTGCCTTAGGCTCATGTCATGATCTTGGGGTGAGGGGATCTAGCCCTGGGTCAGGTTCCCTGCTCAGCGGGGAGCCTGCTTCTCCCTCTCCCTCTGCCCCTGCCGCTCCTTCTGCTTGCTTGCTCTCTCTCTCTGTGTCAAATGAATAAATAAAATCTTTTTTTTAAAAAAAAAAAAAGATGTGTTCAAGGTGCCCGGCTGAAAACACTCAGCTTCCAAGTTCCCTTGAAGCTATGGATAGCCACGTAATGCAATTCTGCCTAATGGATAAGTGGCAGTTCTAGGCAGAGAAGACTCCAGGCAAATTTATTAAATGGGAGACTCAACTGGGATGCCTTCTGCATTTTGGGTGTTGCCCTTTTCCTCCTAACCCCTTCCTCTTGCCCAGGATGCTGATAAAGGGCAAAAGATGGAGAAGGCAGCAGTCATTTTGCAACATGAGGAAGGAAGCCACATGCTAAGGATATCAGAGGAAAGACAGAAGGAGTCTGGGTTCCTGATGGCATCATGGAGTGGCCCTTAAACCCCAACCTAGCTCTAGATTACCTACTTCCCAATCCCAAGTTATGTGAGAAATAGAAATACCATGGTGACTAGGTTCTTGTTACACACCACACAACACAATCCAGGTACTTTACCCACCATATTGCCCTAAGTGACATTTCCCAAACACTGTCCTTGTTTCTCTTTCTTTTTAAGATTTTATTTATTTATTTGAGAAAGAGAGAGAGAGAGATCAAGAACGGGGGGGAAAGGATAGAGGGAGAAGCAGACTCCCCACTGAACAGGGAGCCCGATGCCAAACTCGATCCCAGGGATCATGACCTGAGCCAGAGGCAGATGCTTAACCGACTGAGCCACCCAGGCTCCCTGTCCTTGTTTTTCTTGTGAATATGTTACTAGCCCAGCTGAGGAATAAGTATGCTTGAGCAGGGCAGCTGGATGTAGGTGGGTCCCAGGGACATAATTTTTATCAGTGGCACTTTCTTCTGATACCATGAAAGGAGATAAGTCATTTACCATTATAGCATCACTATTTTGTGGCCAGGAAATTTGAGGTCCAAAAGGACAAAATAATCAGCGTAAGGCTGTAGATTACTTTCCCAATTTATCTGTCCATCCCACACTCCAGGCCTACAATTTTTCCTGGAATGTGCTTTCCCCCTGAGTGTGCTAATGAAATGCATGTTTCTCTCTTTGTTTAATCCATAGTTTCTCAACCTTGGCATTATTGACATTTGGGGCCGAACAGGTTTTTTGCTGTGGGGAGCTGTCTTGGGCATTGTAGGATTTTAGCAGCATCTCAGGCTTCTACCCACTAGATGCCAGCAGCAAACCCCCCCACCCCGCCACACCCAGTTAGGACAACTGAAATTGTCTCCAGATATTACCAATGCCTGCTGAGAGCCAGGATCTATTCCCCACCCATTGAGCACCACTGCTCTAAACTCGTGCCAAACAGCCCCACTCTGCACCTGCTTTGTTCCCATGCGGGCAGTCCTCCCAGCAAAACACTTGTGACACTTGGCAGTTGAAATTTACCTGCCTGGATCTCCATGTTAGACCATAAGCTCCTTGAAGGCAAGGACTGCATCTGGCTAATCTTTATAATCCCCTGTTTATTGACTAAATGGATTTAAAATGGTTCAGGAGAAGAATTAGAATAGAATTCAGGAAATCTGGCTTTCTGATGCCTTGATTTTGATGCTCATTGTTAAAGACTCATGTATCCCCTTGCTTTGCTTGGCATCATATTTTATAGACTCCCACGCTGTAGTCAAGAAGCAGATTCTAGCAGAAAAGTACTAATTACTCTTGTTCTAACACCAGCTACAGTGGGAAAGGAAAGCAAATGTCCTAAGACAACTTTTTTTATTCTCACAAGGGAAAAAAAAAGACTCTTAATGATATGGGAAAGAGTGAAGAGCAAAATTCTATATAGTATTTTTGTTTCCCTAATGAAATCAAAGTTGTATCTCAGTCTTGCAGAGAGAGCTATGTACACCCCTCCCCCAATTCCAGTTTCCTCTCCCGTTGTCATTTTACACGATCAAGGTGCATCTGTTACAACTAAGAAACCAATCCTGGACACACAGGGCTGGCTTCCCTACCCTCTAGAAATGAAGCCCTTTGGTTTGCCAGGACTGGTGATCCTAGCACTTTTAATTTTATGAACATGTTTGTTTTTTTTTTTAAGATTTTATTTATTCATTTGAGACACAGTACAGACAGAAAGAGAGAGCATGAGCAGGGGGAGGGGCAGACAGAGAAGGAGATGGAGAGGGAGAAGCAGGCTCCCCGCTGAGCCAGGAACCTGATGTGGGGCTCCATCCCAGGACCCTGGGATCATGACCTGAGCTGAAGGCAGACGCTTAACCATCTGAGCCACCCAGGTGCCCCTATGAATATGTTTTTAAAGCAGGACATTTACGAACCGTTTAAGTAATGTTGAGACACCGAGCATGTGGACAGGAAATCCTCCTGGTCATGCTGACGAATGTTTCCTTCAATCCTGTGGCTGCCCAACCCTTTCTGGAGAAGAGCTGCAACACTTCCTGACTTTCGTTTTGTGTATTAAGGTTCTAAGAAATTCAATACTCCTTTGGCTTCTGCAAAACGCTACAGTTCATTTGCCCAGTAAATTCAACAGGGGCTAAAGGACACGACAACAAAAGGAAAAGATTCATTTGAAAAGTGCAAAGATATCACATGCCTCTTTTTTTCACTTGGCATTGACCCAGAGCAGTAAATGGCTCTGCATTTGGTTTTGTCTCTTTAAAGAAAGCCCAAACGCTCCGTTGTCATTGTCGGTACCTTTATTGACACCAAGGTTCAAAGGCGGCAAGAGAAGCAAATTTTATCTGACTTGAAAGGAGTTTAAGTGCTGCAGGCCCCCTTCATTAGTACTAGGAGAATAAATATCAATTCATTAGTTTCAAAAAAAATTTAAATAAACTTTTTGGGGACACCTGGGTGGCTCAGTGGGTTAAGCATCTGCCTTCAGCTGAGGTCATGATCCCAGGGTCCTGAGATCGAGCCCCACATCAGCCTGCTTCTCCCTCTCCTTCTGCCCCCCCTTCCCCATACCCCTTGTGCTCTCTCTCAAATAAATAAATAAAAATCTTTTTTTTTTTTAAATAAACTTTTTGTTTTGGCATAATTTTAAATTTATAGGAAAGATGCAAAGACAGTATAGAGAATCGCCATACACCCCCAGGTGCCAGTTCCCCTAACGTTTTCAGCTTCCATTACCAATAGCACATTTCTCAAAGCTAAGAAACCAACACTGACACCTTGCCATTAACTAAACTCTAGACTTTATTTGGATTTCAACGGTTTTTCCCTTAATGTCCATTTCTTGTTTCAGGATCCTGCCTTGTTTTTTATTCCTTAGCTTCTCTGTGGTAAACCTATTTTTGCAAAATGTTTCATGACTAATTTCAGCAAATGACATTTATCTGAGGAACTGAATTGACTCAAGTTCAACCTTCCCATACACATACTTATCCTGAGGCTTTGACTCCAAAGTAATAGCGACGGAATCCCTCTCCCTTTGGTGTCTGTTAGGTAATGCTGTGAGCTTTTACATGACCTGGCTCATAGGAGACTGGATTTCCTGAGAATGCCCTAGGGGTTCTCAACATTAAAAAAAAAAAAAAAAAAAAAAAAAAAAAAAGAAAGAAAAGAAAAGAAAAGAATAAAGGGGAACCTGCCTGGGTGGCTCAGTTGGTTAAGTGTCTGACACTTGGTCTCAGCTCAGGTCTTGATCTCAGGGTCGTGAGTTCAGGCCCCTCTTTCCCCCCACCCCCAGGATCTTTAAGTACTTTATTTCAAACGTTAGGTTCTTTAAGTTGTCTTTGGATTCAGCCTTCAATTCCTCTTTTTTATTTATAGCTGACTTTATATATTTAATGTTCATGTGGGAAAAGACAGCAAACTGTACCATTTCTGTTTTCTTATAAACTTTTTTTTTTTTTTTCTTTCATGAAAACAGCCAAGATTTATGTGGTTCCAGGAGCCAGTTGGGTAAAATATAGATGAAACTCTGGTTTGGTGAATAAAGGGGATATGAGAAAAGAAAAGCTTTAAGAGAGGAAGAAGAAATAGAATTGTGTTTGCTTCAGAGAACATCGGGACAGAGGCCATCCATCTTCCATTTCTAGACCCTATAAGAATGGTCATTACAGCCTGGGGGACAGAGGGGGGAATGGGGACCTTGGCATATGAAATGGATGGACATAGGGTATGTTTTCAGCTCTAACACATACTCATTAGATAACCTTGGACAAGTTACTTAACCCCTCTGGGCCTCAGTATCCTTGTCAGTAAAACGAGAATCAAGTATTGAAAAAGATAATGTATTGAGCACAGTGCATGACACAGAGAAAGCATGTTATATGTGTGTGAAGTGTTATGGTTACCACGGGCCATCCACCCCAATCCCACCTGGCATTCCCATATTCCCTCTAGTCTACTATTAATCTCATCCTTCCTTCCATCTTTTGGCATTTGGTAGCCAAGAAATTTGACAGGTCCCAGAAGGCTAAGCAGAATAAATGAGCGTCCAAGTCTTTAAAATATATGTTGAAGTATAAAATTTGGTCACTGGTCATAAGCAGGGACAGAGTCCACAAAGCAGAAAAAACATCCCAGCAAGGAACACCAGGTGAGTTTTCCCCAGTTACTCCCTCCCCCACCCTGAGAACAAAATGCCCACTTGACCCCTGGGTGGACCAGACCAGGACAGGCTGCCAATGATCTGCTCTGTTAGTGTGACCTGGGATAACATTCCCAGCAGAGGGCTGCAAACATTTGCTGAGCACACAGACCCGTGACCCATGGTGAGGTTGGGGTTGAGTTTGGCTTACGCCATAACTGGGGGTTGGTGGCTGTGGGGGCTGTTCTGCACAGAACAGGGGGGCGAGGCTGTGTGGTCTGGGGAAGAGGAAGTTTTTTTGTTTTTGTTTTTTAAGATTTTTATTGGGGTGCCTGAGTGGCTCAGTCGGTTGAGCATGGACCTTTGGATCAGGTCATGATCCCAGGGTCCTGGGATTGAGCCCTGCTTCTCCCTCTCCCTCAGCCTGCTGCTCCCCCTGCTTGTTCTCGCTGTCTGTTAAATAAACAAAATCTTTAAAAAATTTTTTTTTCATTTTTTTGAGAGAGAGAGCATGGGGAGGAGCAGGGGAGAGGGAGAAGCAGACTCCCCACTGAGCAAGGAGCCCAACAGGGGGCTCGATCCTAGGACCCAGAGATCATGACCTGAGCCAAAGCTTAACCGACTGAGCCACCCAGGTGCCCCGAAGAGGAAGTTTAAACTGGGACCCCATTGTTTTGTACAAAACACAATCATTAGTTAAAATGGGACCCCATTGTTTTGTACAAGACACATTTTCTGTTTGCAAATGACTCGTATTTTCCAGCATACAGTTCCAGAATTATAGAGTTTATTATAGTCCTTAAGACCTACAATGTTTTTCCAAAAATACTTCTTATTGTCTATACCTGTGGCAATCTGCAACCTCTTGGGGAGCTGAGTGCTGGGGGACCCAGCCCTGCACCAGAGAACTGGATACACTGGCGGTTAGCGCTTGGCTCTGCTGGATGACCCGGAATAAGCCAGGAAGCTCTTCAAAAGCTTCCTTTTGTTGTTGTTGTTGTTGTTTGTTTGTTTGTTTTTATATGACAGAGAGAGACACAGCGAGAGAGGGAACACAAGCAGGGGGAGTGGAGGAGGGAGAAGCAGGCTTCCTGCGGAGCAGGGAGCCCAATGCGGGGCTCGATCCCAGGACCCTGGGATCATGACCTAAGCCGAAGGCAGACGCTTAACCATCTGAGCTACCCAGGCGCCCCGTTGTTGTTGTTTGTTTTTACTAGAAGAGGCAGGAACGGGCATGAAAGCAACCTAGTGGAGTGCCTAGAACACCGGAAGGAGCTTGTTTCATTTAGCAAATGCAGCCCATCCAAACTGAGCTCCTCTGACTTCACTTGAGGAAGCTCTGCCTTGATATCTAAAGGAAGGTGGTAGCAACTGGAACAAACCCCTGTTCGTGAGCTCTCCCTCCTTGGCACACGGGGAAGGCTGTGGAGGTGACCAGAGCACACAGATTCAGTCTCTGAGCCCACCCAGGGGGCAGCTCTGTACAGAGATAGGTGCAGCGGCTGAAGGAATGAACTCCGATCCCCACAGATATATACTAGGGGGTAGGGGGTCTTTTATTTATTATTATTATTATTATTTTAAGTTTTTATTTATTTGAAAGCGAGAGCGAGAGAGCACAAGCCGGGGAATGGCAGAGGGAGAGGGAGAAACAGGCTCACCACCAAGCAGGGAGCCCAAGGTAGGGCTCAATCCCAGGACCCCGAGACCACGACCTGAGCGAGCGGAAGGCAGATGCCCAACTGACTAAGCCACCCAGGCGCCCCGAGGGGGTCTTTTAGATTCACCTTCCAGGGGACCAGATGACTTTACAGCTCAAAGGGTCTGTGAGTCTGACTTTTTCTTACCTTCTGGAACAGATAAAGGAGTAAAGAAGATAGCTGTCCTGGGTACAGCTCTGGATTTCTCAACTGAAGTGTTTCATCACAGTCTTGAAAAATCAGGATTGTTCAGGCTTGCAGGAAGTGGATTGTCTGATTCTAAGTTTTACTTGAAATTTTGGGGGAAAAAATTGACAACAGTTTTCTAAAGGGACTCCCTCATCTTGATCAACCAAGTATTCCCCCTCCTCCCAGTTTCCAGCAAGAAGAGAACAATTTGCCTTTGTAACAACTTGGGGTTCTCCTGAAAATCTCCACCCTATACCTGTGTTCAACCATTTGCATTCAATGATTTTTACTTGGTTTCTGGGAGCTGGGTGTCCACACACAATAAACTGTTATTTGCAACATCATGATCAGATCCACTGCCTGGAAACCCGGGGACTCTGGGTTACCTTTACCTTGCTCTCAAGGGAGCAGAACCTGGGAGAGCAAAGAGGTAAGTAGGTAATTCCAATGCAGTATAACTGCAATCAGCCCTGTGGTGGGACTGAGGAGCAAGGGCCATAAGGAAGAGCTTCGTAAAGGAGATGTTTCCATGGGCTTTGAAGGATGAGTAGGAGTTTGCCCAAGATTTAGCTTTTTTTTTTTTTTACCCTGGGCCCTTCTCCCTGCTAGAGAAGCTAGATGCCACCTGACCCCTGAGAGAGAAAAGCAGTAGTAGTTCATCTGGTGCTAAAAAAGATCTGAAACTAACACAAAATCTGCTAATATGCTCAAAACTAAGTGTATGAGAAGATCCTTCTGAATTTCCGTGTACTTATTTTAACTCTCCCGGGACATCCCTTGCTTCTCCCCTCCCCTTATCCTCAGCACTCTTGAAGATGTCCTTAATATTTCTCATTTAACCAACAACTCTTCTTTCAAACTGGAGGCAGGTCATAGGGTCATAGTAACGTTCCAGCCTCCCAGCTAGCTCTCCCTCGTGGTCCACAATTCCAGGTCTCTGAGCTCTGACTTCAGCTATGACACTTGCCAAAAGGATCAAAAAGGAAACTGCTGGGGCACCTGGGTGGCTCAGATGGTTAAGTGTCTGCCTTCAGCTCAGGTCATGATCCCAGGATCCTGGGATCGAGTCCTGCATCAGGCTCCCTGCTCAGCGGGGAGCCTGCTTCTCCCTCTGCCTCTCTCTCTCTCTCTTATGAATAAATAAATTTTAAAAAATCTTTAAAAAAATTAATTAATTAAAAAAAAGGAAACTGCTAGTCAGAATTTCCTCTCCTTCCATGAATGTCTTTTTTTTCTTTTTTTGATTGAGGGCCATCTTTATTGGAAGGAAATACTTTATACATGATTTCTTTCTTTCTTTCTTTTTTTCCCTTCCCTGAATTTCTTATTCTACTTCTGCAGTGGGTGTGAATGACATCCTACCCCCAGGGTGTTAAAATATGTATATTTGAAAACCTAAAAACAAAACAAAAAACTCCAAAAAACTGGAGGCAGGAATATGAGAGAGAGAATGTGGGGGAGCGTTTCTCACCACCCCATCCCCATCCTACCCTTTTTGGGCTTTAAATTTTATAGTCACTCCCTCTCCTGGTCCCTGCTCTGCCTCTTCCTCTAAAGCAGCCAGAAGGGACTTGGGGGTGACTTTCATCACTCTCCCTTTGAGTCCTAGAGAGAGGCTAACTCTTGGGGTCAGGAGTTGGCATGGGAGCTCAGGTCTCCTGGGACTATAGCCTGCCTCCTGGCTTTGCACAGCGAGGTAGCTGACCTTTTCTATTTTATCCCGCTTTTTTCTCTGTGCCCCACTTGGCTTGGCAACCATAAATCACCACTGTTTCCTCCTTGGCATTTCTTAAATGTGGCCCGCTTAAATGAAAAGATCAAGAGGGTGAGGCCCCGTGGACTTTGAAACGTTCAGCTTGCCTTCTGGCCTCGGCCACTGGCTGGACAGGTCCCGCGGGCTCTCCTGGGAGAGTGGGCAGCTGATGAAATCCGCAATCTGGAGGACACCCTTCCCCCCGCCTTCTTCCTCCCTTCCCGAAAGTGCCCTTGTTTGCGTATCCGGGTTCCAGAACAGGAACCTCTTGTTGGAAATCGATCAGGGGAGGTAATGTTACTGATTGAGTGGATTTGCTTGGAGCTGTAGGTAGCCGCCTCCCTGAGAAAGAACCTGTTTTTACTGATTAAAATCTCCCTTGTTTGTTCACTTTCTACTTCTAGAAGTTCTTAGAACCTTTTTCCAGGAAGAAGCCAGGTGATAGGAAACCAGAGTCGCTACGGACATCAAGCCTTGTTTGTGTCCTCCTTACGCAAAAGCTCCTTTTATTGTCAAGGAAACAAGCTCAAGGACGTGAGGAATAAGCCAACAGTAGGACGGATGGCTGATGAGCATGGGGTTCTGTGCCAGGCACTGGCATCCCTTCTGTCTTTCATTCCTGCGGGGCAGGAACTGGCTCCATTTCTCAGAGGAGGAAGGGTGAGAGGTGAGGCCCAAGGTCATGCCATTTTTCGGTGGGAGAACTGGGATTTGAACCAAGATCCCTGTGACTTCAGATACTGCCCGATTCCTGGAGGTTGCACAGGCCTGGGTCACTGCTTGGAGGCCGTGAGGCTTCCGAGGTGACCCCCACTTTCGGTGATGTGCATTTTATTAGATAGAAACTGAAAACTGAAGTCAAGGTGTCTGAAACCAGCAAAAGAACGTTCCTTTCTGTCTCTGTTGCCATTCCTTGGTTGGGGAGTAGACTGGTGGGGCCAAGGTTAACATTTACTGTGCAAACAATAGCCTGGAAGCCAGGCAGAACCCACGCCTAGTGGGGTAAATAGCCCCAGGAGGCCCAGGCAGGGCATGCCAGGGCCCCGGTGAGGCCTTGCATGGAGAGACAACAAGGAGAATGTGCCCAGGGGCCAGAAGCCGGGAGCCCAGAGCCCTGGTCCTGGGGCTGCCATTATTACTTTCTTTTTTTTTTTAAGATTTTATTTATTTATTTATTTATTTATTTATTTATTTATTTATTTATTTATTAAAGATTTTATTTATTTTTTTATTGGAGAGCAAGCGAGAGAGAAACAGGCATGAGAGAGGAGAGGGTCAGAGGGAGAAGCAGGCTCCCCACTGAGCCGGGAGCCCGATGTGGGACTCGATCCCAGGACCCTGGGATCATGACCTGAGCCGAAGGCAGTTGCTTAACCAACTGAGCCACCCAGGCGCCCCAAGATTTTATTTATTTATTTGTCAGAGAGCACAAGCAGGGGGAGTGGCAGGCAGAGGGAGAGGGAGAAGCAGACTCCCCACTGAGCAGGGAGCCTGATGTGGGGCTCTATCCCAGAGCCCTGGGATCATGACCTGAACCGAAGGCAGATGCTTAACCGACTGAGCCACCCAGGAGCCCCATGGTGCTGCCATTATTCACACATGTGCTTCTCTGTTTCTCTGCTTGAGGTAGAAAAACTCAGCTTGATGAGGTCAGGTCCAGTCTGGCTGTAGGGATCTGACCGGGGCAGTGCAGCCCAGCAGTCGGGCAGGGGGAGGGTAGAATCCAGTTACAAACTCTGTGACTCTAGACAAGTCCTTAACTTTACAGAGACTCTATTTTCCTATTATGCATCTAAGAATCATAGTAGAACCCACCCCATAGGGTTGTCAAGACATTTAAGTTAGAATGCTCAGCAGAATTCTAGAATATAGTGTCATGGCCACAAGGGTCCTTTCTTTTGATTTTGTTTTGGTGGAGAAATTGAAATTCAGTTAAAGCAAAAGTTAACAAATTAGAAGAAGGAGGAGGAAGAGGAGGTGGAGGTAGAAGGGGAGGAGAAGGAGGAGAAGAAGAAGTTAGAAGTTATAGTTATGTAGGGGCCCTGGAATTGAGCCCTTTGTTGGGCTCCCTGCTCAGTGGGGAGTCTGCTTCTCCCCCTCCCTCTGCTCCTCCCCCCTGCTCATGCTCTCTCTCTCTCCCAAATAAAAATTTTTTTTAAAGATTTTATTTATCTGTCAGAGAGAGAGAGAACACAAGCAGGGGGAGTGGCAGGCAGAGGGAGAAGCAGGCCTCCCGCTGAGCAAGGAGCCGGATGCTGGACTCGATCCCAGGACCCTGGGATCATGACCTGAGCCAAAGGCAGATGCTTAACCGACTAAACCACCCAGGTGTCCCTCTCTCAAATAGATTTTTAAAAAACTCTTGAAAGTTATAGCTAACATCTTGGGGCGCCTGGGTGGCTCAGTTGGTTAGGCGACTGCCTTCGGCTCAGGTCATGATCCTGGAGTCCCGGGATCGAGTCCCACATCGGGCTCCCTGCTCAGCAGGAGTCTGCTTCTCCCTCTGCCCTCTTCCCTCTCATGCTCTCTGTCTCTCATTCTCTCTCTCTCAAATAAATAAATAAAATCTTTAAAAAAAAAAAAAAGTTATAGCTAACATCTTACAGTTAAAGCTTAGTTCCGTGCTCCTGCATAGGAAACAACATGTTGGGAATTATTAGTGATCCTCTAATTCTGCAAATATTCACTGAATGCTTGGCAGAGGTGGGGCTTTTCACTTGTTCTGTGGATCATAAAAAGATATTTACACATGGACCTTTTCCCAAAGAACCCCCAGTCCAGGAGGAGACACACAAAAATGACTATGGCAGAGAAGTACCAGTGTCATGCAGGGATTAGGAATCTGCTCTGATGCTTCAGGAAATTCTCCGGAGGCCCAGACAGAGCAAGACTCCTGGGAGAATGTGGACTTTGGGGTCCACGTATAGCATATTTTCAGTCCCAACCTTGACACCAATCTGCTGGATGATCTTGGACAATTGACATCACTTTTCTGAGTGATTTCCTCCTCTTGTGATGATTAATTTTGAGTCAACTTAGCTAAACTATAATACCCAGGTATTCTATTAAACAGTAATCCAGGTGTTGCTGTGGAGGTATTTTGTAGACACAGTTAACATCTACGAAAGGAGATCGTCTGAGTGGGCCTCATCCAATCAGTGGAAAGCCTTAAGCAAAACTAAGGTATCTCTGAAGTAGAAGACCTTTCACCTATGGATTGTGGCGTTGACTCCTGCCCCAAGTTTCCAGCCCGCCAGTCTGTGCCAAAAATTTCAAACGTGCCAGCCCCACAATCATACAAGCCAATTCCCTGAGATAAATCACATATATGTAGATCATATATCATATGTGTAGTGGGTATATATGATATGTGATTATGTCATAGATATACACATGCTATATGATATATATATCTTTATATCACATATCTATGATATATGTAAAAATGTCCTACTGATTCTGTTTCTCTGATAGTAGGCAAGCAGAAATGTTACTTCCCTTTCCCTTCCTTGACTGTCTCCAGCATTAGATAATGTCCCCTGCTCCTCTCAGTTCCCCAGCACCTCATCATGAAGGCACAGAACTTGGAGCTGGAAGGGCCCCTAGGGGCTGTGTAGTTCACCCTCCTCTGTGTGTAGGTGAAGATCTTCAGATGGAGAAGCCAAGCCATTTGTCCCAGGTCTCAAAGACGATATTGGAGGCATGGGGCTAACATTTAGGGCTGCCTGGCAGGTTGGCATAGAGTGAGGCAAGAGAGGCATTTGCCTAGGGTATAAAATTTAAGGAGGTGTCCCAAAAGTCAGTAATCAAGATGACAAATATTTTGATGCAATATTTTTAAAAATCTAAAAATGCAAAATAATCTATGATACACAAAGTATCACATTTTTTAAAGCTTTTTTTTAAAGATTTATTTATTTGAGAGAGAGAGAGAGCACGAGCAGTGGGGAGCAGCAGAGGGAGAGGGAGAAGCAGACTCCCAGCTTAGCAGGGAGCCTGACACGGGGCTCCATCCCAGGACTCTGGGATCATGACCTGAGCCGAAAGGCAGACCCTTAACCGACTGAGCCACCCAGGCTCCCTCACATTTTTCTTTTTTTAATTTTTAATTTTAATTTTTTTAAAGATTTTATTTATTTATTCGAGATAGAGAGGGAGAGAGAAACAGCATGAGAGCGGAGAGGGTCAGAGGGAGAAGCAGGCTCCCCGCTGAGCAGGGAGCCCAATGTGGGGCTCGATCCCAGGACCCTGGGATCATGACCTGAGCCGAAGGCAGTCGCTTAACCAACTGAGCCACGCAGGCGCCCTTCCTTTTTTTTTTAAAGTAAGCTCCATGCCCAACGTGGGGCTTGAACTCATGACCCTGAGATTAAGAGTCACATGCTCTACCAACTGAGCCAGCCAAGCGTCCCACAAACTATCGTATTTTTAAATAAAGAAGGATCATTACTGTTGGTTTTTCCTTTTGCTGTAGGTGCTGACGTGGTTGGCACGGTACGGTTGCCCGTGTCTCGTGGCATCTCTGCATTAGACACGGCATCACATGCTACCCATGGTGTTCATTATAACTGTTCGTGTGGTTTCCTCTGCCTGTCAAGACCTCTCATAGGTGGCCAATTGCCCTGGTGTGTCCAGGACTGAGCGGTTTCCCAGAACTCAGGACGTTTAGTGGGATATATTGATAGTCACAGCAAACCAGGATAGTTGATTGTCCTATCAGAGAAGGAAGCAGGGACCAGATCATATGCACTTTTGTGCCCCTGAGCCACTTGGTTACACTGAGTAAATATTATCGATCAAATTTGCCCTTTCTGGCGGAGTACTTGGGAGGCACTCCCTAATCAGCTGCTTATCTGAGGCACAGAAAGGCTAACAGCGACTTGGCCAGGACCCACTGGCAAATCCCTGATGCTCCAGCCCCAAGCCTGTTGGCCTCCCCAGTGTCCTGCCTGCAGCTGCCCATCCAGAACCATCCTCTGAGATTCCTGAGATAGGAATCCACCTTGTGTAACCAGTAAGGGCTTATTTGCCTAAAATCTGCCCAAGAAGCTGCGCTTCCCCCCACCCCCACCCTATTTTTTAACAAGCAAAAACTCTGCCTTTCGAAACTTTCTGTGCCTTAAACAACAAGTGGGCATTTTGCTCCAAGGATCATTATATCGGGCCTTCAGCTAAGGACAGACATAGGAACATTCTAGGCAGGCCACTTAACAAGGCTAGCTCTGTCACGTGGACCAAGACCCTTGACTGCTTTGGCTCTGAGTGTCCTCAATGACCAGCTGAAAACCTTGGACTCATTGTTCTGGGACATAGCAGGGTGCTTCTGTGAACATCAGTTATCGTCATCTATAAAGTTGGCATCATACCTTTTAAGGTATTTCTGAGGATTAAGTAAGGTAATGTATAGAAACCCCTTTGCATGGTCCCTTGTGGGAGGTCATTTATTTGTTTTCCTTCTCTCTAGTTCTCCTCTGAGTCTAAAATGCAGTAATTTTATGATTCCACTTTTATAGTTGGTAGGACAGATAATTCACTCATTTAACCATTCCTTTATTCCAAAATGTCTTACTGTTCACCTACTGTGTGCCAAGAATAACCCTAGGTATTAGGTGCTAAGGATATGGTGGTGAGCAAGGACCCAGTTATAAAACATCAGAAATTATCTAAAAATCCCCTGCAATGCAAGAAAAGACTACCCAAAAAACTCCACAAAAAACCAATAGTAAAGTGCACCCATAAGTCAGAAATCATCCCTATTGACTGTCAAATGAATTCTGAGTAGATGCTACTTAGCAGGTGGTCACAGTTCTCCCCAGTGGCTGCTATTCTTGTATTTAAAACACCTGCTGCTGTTCGCAGGTTGCTAACATTTACTTTGGTCTTTATGTCAATGCCATTTGCAGAAGGAGCCAGCTGTGGGGCTTTTCTCTTTCAACATTGCCACTGAATTGTGCTTTGTCCATAGGAAAATAAACACCGCTTGCGTAGATAGCACTGCAGAAACCTTCAAGGCTGATTTTAGCTGGGACCTTCTGCTCAAGATGACGAGTAGGCTTCATCTTCATGGCGTGAGAAATGTTGTCCTTCTTGGCTTAATCATCAGGCTTAATTTTACTTTACCTAGTGTTGTTTTTGTCTTCCTCCCTGTTTTTGGAGACCTTTTTTTGTAATTCCTCTCTACTTGTGGGATTTTACCAGACGGTTGAGAACTGATGAGCCATAGATAGTAAAGGTTAGACAGAAAGCCGATTAGTGGTTGCCAAGTGCTGGGGGTGGGGAAAAACCAGAGTGACTACTGAAAGGCGATGGGGTCTTCTCTTGGGGGAGCGATGAAAATGTTTTGGAACCAGATAGAGGTGGTTGTTTCACAACATTGTGAATGTACTGAATGCCACCGAATTGTAGACTTTAGGCTATGTGAATTTCACCTAAATAAAAAACAAAACATTATGTTAAGTGAAAGGAGCCAGATACAAAAGAGTATAATCTGTATGAATCTGTTTACATGAAATCAAGAACAGGCTAAACTAATCTATGGTGATAGAAATCAGAAAAATGGTTGCCATGGGGGTGGGGAGGAAAGAAGCCCAAGGGAACTTTCTGGGGTGAGGAAAATATTCTCCATCTTGTTTTGGGCAGTGGTTACAGACTATATACAATTGTCCCATAGTGTCAAATTGTAAGTTAAGATCTGTGCATTTTTTAAAAGATTTTATTTATTTATTTATTTAGAGAGTGAGAGAGCAGGGGGAGGGGCAGAGGAGGAGGGAGAGAGAATCTCAAGCAGATTCCCCACTGAGCGTGGAGCCTGACACTGGGCTCAATCTCGTGACTCTGAGATCATAACCTGAGCTGAAAGCAAGAGTCGGATGCTTAACAGACTGATCCACCCCGGTGCCCCAAGATCTGTGCATTTTATTGATTTAATTTTACCTCATTTAAAAAATAAAAATGGAAAAAAAATTTTAAGTGGAAAAAGAAAAGGAGGGTGCCTGGGTGGCTCAGTCGGTTAAGCATCTGCCTTTGGCTCAGGTCATGATCCCAGAGTCCTGGGATCGAGTCCCACATCAGGCTGTCTGCTCAGCAGGGAGTCTGCTTCTCCCTCTCACTCTTCCTCTCTCTCAAATAAATAAATAAAATATTAAAAAAAAAAAAAAAGAAAGAAAAGGAAAGGTGAATATCCTAGGAGGAAAAAAAGGCAAAGGATCTGGCAGTATCTGAGTCAAGTTTCCCTGGAGCTGATTCATCCATTTTTATTTTTTATTTTATTTTTAATTAATTAATTAATTATTTTTATTATTTATTTATTTGTCAGAGAGATAGAGCACAAGCAGGGAGAGCGGCAGGCAGAGGGAGAAGCAGGCTCCCCATTGAGCAAGGAGCCCAATGTGGGACTCGATCCCAAGACCCCGGGATCATGACCTGAGCTGAAGGCAGATGCTTAACCTACTAAGCCACCCAGGGGTTCCCCATTTTTAAATGTATTACTATGAAGAACTATCTTCTGGTACTTCATTGTTTGTTTGTTGTTTTACATAATTTTATTTCTGATAACTTCATGTACTTTGGGCTAAAGGAGCCTGGTCTCAAGCCATGACAATGTGTTGTCATGCCTTGGTTTGGCAGTCAGATGCTCTGGATTTGCTTCCTACCTGGTTAGACTCTTGCCTCATCTATCTGCCTTGGCCGCTTGGTAGTTGTGTGACTTTGGGCAAATTGCTTAACCTCTCAAGGCATGACTTCCTCCTGGGGTAAAAGCAGGGATGACATCCCCTAGCAATGCTGTTGTGAGGGCCGACTGAGCCAATGTCAGGGGCCTAGCACAAAAAAGGGCAGAGAGAGCATGGCTGGGTGAGTGGGTTTGCCCGGTAAGAGGCAGGGTGTCCAGTTACATTTGAATTTCAAACAAACAACAAATAATTTTTAGTATACGACGGTTATGAATTGAATGCTTGTCCCCCGTGCACCCCCCAAATTCATATGTTGAAGCCCTAACCCTCAGTGTGACTGTATTTGGAGGAAGTAATTAAGGTGAAATGAGACCTAAGGGTGAGGCCCTGATCCAATAGAATTAGTGTCTTCATAAGAACAGACACCAGAGAGTACTCACTGTTCCCTCTGTGCCCCCGACACCACGCACAAAGAGGTCATAAGAACACACAATGAGAAAGTAGGTATGTGCAAACCAGGAGGAGAGCCCTCATCAGAAACTGAATTGGCTAGAACCTTGACCTTGGACTTTCCAGCCTCCAGACCTTTGAGAACCAGCCAAACCCACTAATCAAGTGCCAGGATGGAATAAAGAATTTTTTTTTTTAAGATTATTATTATTATTATTATTTTGGACAGAGAGATAGTGAGAGCAGGAACACAAGCAGGGGGAGTGGAATAGGGAGAAGCAGGCTTCCTGCCAAGCAGGGAGCCCAATGCAGGGCTCTATCCCAGGACCCTGGGATCATGACCTGAGCCGAGGGCAGACGCTTAACGACTGAGCCACCCAGGCACCCCGGAGTAAAGAATTTCTTCAACAATTCGAGGACTCAAAAAATGTATCTTGCAAACCCACAGAATGGGAGAAAACATTTGCAAATCTGTATCTGATAAGGGACTTGTATTTAGACTATCTAAATGATTACAATTCAATAATAAAAAGACAAATAACCCAATTAAAAATAGGTAAAGAGTAAATGTTTCTCCAAAGAGGACATACAAGTGGCCAAAAAGCACATGAAAAGATGCTCAGCATCATTAGTCATTAGGGAAATGCAAATCAAAAGCACAATGAGAAACCACTTCACACCCACTAGGCTAGAATAAAAAAGACATAATCACAAGTGTTGATGAGGATAGAAATTGGAACCAACCCTCACAACACTGCTAATAGGTGCAGTGTTTAAAATGGTGCAGCTTGGGGCGCCTGGGTGGCTCAGTTGGTTAAGCGACTGCCTTCGGCTCAGGTCATGATCCTGGAGTCCCGGGATCGAGTCCCATATCGGGCTCCTTGCTCAGCAGGGGGTCTGCTTCTCCCTCTGACCCTCCCCCCTCTCATGTGTTCTCTCTTTCTCATTCTCTCTCTCTCAAATAAATAAATAAAATCTTTAAAAAAAAAAAAAAAAAAAAAAAAAAAAAAAAAAAAAAAAAAAAAAAAAAAAAAAAAAAAAAAAAAAAAAAAAAAAAAAAAAAAATAAAATGGTGCAGCTGCTTTGGAAAACAGCCTGACAGTTTCTCAAACCAAGAGGCATAGAGTTACTATATGACCCAGCAGTTCCACTCCTAGGTATATACCCAAGAGAAACGAAAACATGTCTGCACAAAAACTTGTACATAAATTTTTTTCTGTTTTTCTTTTTAAAGATTCTATTTTAGGGACGTCTGGGTGGCTCAGTCGGTGGTGAAGCATGAGATGCTTGATCTTGAGGTTGTGAGTTCAAGCCTCAGATTGGGTAGAGATTATTTAAAAATAAAATCTTAAAAAAAAAAAGAAGAAAAATGGAGGTGACATAACAGGAAGTAATAGCAAAGAAGTTGTCTCTGAGGGGTAAAATTGGGGAGAGGGGAGGGAGAGGATAGGCAACCTGGATTTTGTTGTAAGCCTTTTAATGATTTTATTTATTTATTTAAGAAAGAGAGAGAGTGCGTGCATGTGTCAGCGGGAGGAGGGGCGGAAGGAGAGGGAGAGAGTATCCCAAGCGGACTCCAGGCTGAGCATGGTGCCTGACGTGGGGCTCAACTCAGGGCTCAATCTCACAACCCTGAGATCATAAACTGAACTGAAATCAAGAGTCGGTCGCCTAACTGACTGAGCCACCAAGGTGCCCCTGTTGTAAGCCATTTAAATCTGCCTTGACTAAAAACAAACAAGCTATATGCACATGTTTTTAAATATATTTGAACTAATCTCTACATCCAACGTGGGACTCCAACTCACAACCCCAAGATCAAGAGTCGTGTGCTCTAGGGAGCCAGCCTGGTGCCCCTTAAATGTATTTTAAAAAATGGAACCCTGGAACCTATTGAACTCTTTTACATGCCCATTTGCTATTCAGGAAACACGGGGTTAATTTTAGAGCTCAGAGCACCTAGAGGGAGGAGACAAATGGGAGAATTGGAAGAGAGTTGTCCTAGCAGAGGACATTCTCCTCTACCTTCCCAGCTGTGTCTAATGCCTGGGGCCTCTTTTCTTGCCACCCCTTCACCATCTGCGGTTATGGATTCCAGTGGCAACCCCCAGAACACTTGTTCTCCAACCCCTTTATTTCTGGGAATCTTTATTTTTTTTAGATTTTTTTATTTATTCATTTGACAGAGACAGAGCTAGCGAGAGCAGGAACACAAGCCGTGGGAGTGGGAGAGGGAGAAGCAGGCTTCCCCCCGA